AAATTCTGAGGTTGAAGAGAATATTTTGCTGAGGAGCTTCTGTGAGGAGCTGGAGAAGGCCGGGAATGGATATGATTTAAACAAATTATATTCATGCATCACATTACCAAAAGAAAATCAGTATTTTCAATGAGAGGATTGGACAGATTTTACAGTTCTAATGGGAGTCTGTTGAGGAGGGTTCTTTAGGTCTGGCATGCCAATCTAAGGGTTATAACTTGTTAGTGACAGAAATATACTAAAGCAAACCGTGTGAAGTCTGTTAGTGTCATCAAGTGGTAATGAAGAAGTATGTTTCTTTTACATTGTGAGGTGTTTTGGGAGAAAAGGTTTATTGAAGCTTATGCTTCCAGGTCACAATCCATCACTGAGGGAAATCAGGGCAGGCAGGAACCCGTAGATCGGAGCTAGGCCAAGACCATGGAGGGGTGCTGCATGTTGGCTTGTTCAGTCTGATTTCTTTTTTTAATATTATATTTTCTGAAACTTTTTTAATTTTTTATTTAACTTTTATTAATTACACTTTATTCATTTTGTATCCCCCCATAAGCCCCTCCCTCCACCCCTCCCAATCCCACCCTCCCTCACCTTTCTGCATGCATGCCCCTCCCCAAGTCCACTGATAGGGGAGGTCTTCCTCTCCTTCTTTCTGATCTTAGTCTATCAGTTCTCATCAGAAGTGGCTGCATTGTCATCTTCTGCTTATTTATTACAAATTATTTACTTTGTATCCCAGATGTACCCTCCTCACTCATTCCCTCTCAGTCCTGTCCTCCCTCCCTCCTTCCTTCATCTCCTCCCATGCCCCTTCCCCAGTCCACTGATAGTAGAGAACTTCCTCCCTTTCTATCTGACCCTAACCTATCAGGTCTCATCAGGGCTGTCATAGTCTTTCTCTGTGGCCTGATCAGGCTGCTCCTTCCTCAGGGGGAGGTGATCAAGAGCCAGCCACTGAGTTCATGTCAGAGGCAGCCCCTGCTCCCTTTGTTAGGGAGCCCATTTGGAGACTGAGCTTCCATGGGCTATCTCTGTGCAGGGAGTCCACGTTATCTCCATGAATGGTCCTTTGTTGGAGTATATCAGTCTCAGAAAAGACCCCTAGGCCCAGGGTCTGGAGCTCCACAAGGAGAACAACGGAACCAAACAAATCAGTCTGATTTCTTACAGAACTCATGACCACAAGCCCATGAGTGGTGCCATCCACAATGGGCTCTCGCCATCAATGTCTTGTTGAGAAAATGTCTCTATTGTAGGTGGGTCTTATGGAGGTATTTTCTTAACTGAAGTTCCCTCCTCTCAAATGACTTCAGTTTGTGTCGAGTTTACATAAATCTGTCCATCACGGGTAGCTTCCATGCTCTTCTTATGCCTTATCAGCAATAAGGATGCAGGTGATGACCTTTTTGGTTAAGTGGGCTCTAGTGTTCCTTTTGACCCAGCAACACTATGTGTAAAGGATTCAAAATGTTGAAGACATTTACTGAGAATCACCTAAAACCTAGAATTCTGTCAACTAGCATTTATCATTGCTTTAAAAACTCTCATTTTTAACTTCAACTTATTTCCAAGTTGAAGTCTTTGTAGACCCCGAGAGACTTTATATTGCTTTCAACTTAGAGAAATGTCAGGATAAATTTTCCCAAGGGCCAAGAAAGGAGGGTTATGAAATCTGGTTAAATGAAGCCATTGTGATTTTTTTTAAACTTGTGCTAGTATTAATTTATCCTCCTATGTGTCTCTCTGTCACAAGTACAAGTAACAAGTGAAATAATAATTTAACATGGCTTTAAATCTAATGTCATTTAGATTATTAGGAAAGATTAATGACATATGCTTAAACTGAAGTCAGATTAAACGATGATTTGGCTGTGGTAAAGTAAATTTGCAGATAGAAAACTCAATAAAAGATTAATAGCAGAGATATTTTGGAGAAGTGATTACTGATATATAAAGGAAGATATGATGTTCTATAAATCAGCACTGTCTAACAATGCTCAGTTCTTCCTCTTTTTTAACTACTCTTATTCTCATGGCTTGTGTTTTATTTAGTCTTCCTTAGGAACATTATTTTAAGAGAAAGAATTGAGATGGAAAGACCTTTATATATATAGTCATAAATGGAAATAACTCCTTTCCCTTACACACCACACATTCCATAGCTTTCTGGTACACTTTAGAAATGCCATTCATAATTTATTATTATTATTGTTATTATTATTAATTAAAATTTATTCACTTTGTATCTTGGCTGTAGCCCCCTCCCTCATCTCCTTCTAGTCACACACTACCTCCCTCTTCTCCCTTTATTCTCCTCCCCTAATCCACTGATAGGGGAGGTCCTCTTCTCATACTATCTGATCCTAGCCTATCAAGTCTCATCAGGACTGGCTGGATCCTCTTCCTTTGTGGCCTAGGAAGGCCACCATGAGATTCTACCTTACACCCATCAGAATGGCTAAGATCAAAACCTCAAGTGAAAACACATACTGGAGAGGATGTGAAGAAAGGGAACCCTCTTCCATTGCTGGTAGGAATGTAAACTTGTACAGCCACTTTGGAAATCAATCTGAAGCTTTCTAAGAAAATTAGGAATAGTGCTACCTCAAGCTATACCACTCCTGGGCATATATCTGAAAGATGCTCAACCATACAACAAGGACATTTACTCAACTATGTTTATAGTAGCTTTATTCATAATAGTCAGAATCTGGAAACAAACTAGATGTCCCTCAATGGAGGAATGAATACAGAACGTTTGCTACATTTACACAATGGAATGTTACTCAGCAATTAAAAACAAGATAATCATTGAATTTGCAGGCAAATGGATGTAACTAGGAAAGATCATCCTTAGTGAGGTATCCCAGAAGCAGAAAGACACAGGTGGTATATACTCACATATAAGTGGATATTAGACAAATAATATAGAATAAATATACTAAAATCTATAGTCCTAAAGTAGCAAACACTAAGGAGGATTATATGGAAGAGGCTGAAACCTCATTCAGAAGGACAAATATTGGAAGCAAGAGAAGACAGGGAACAGGGCAGGAACCTACCTCAGAGGGCCTCTGAAAGACTACTGATCAGGGTACAGAAGCAGATACTAAGACGCATAGCCAATCTTTGGGCAGGGTACAGGGAATTTAATGAAAGAAGGGAGAGATAGAATGACCTGGAGGGGACAGGAGCTCCACAAGGAGAGCAACACAGCCAAAAATCCTGGACCCAAGGGGACTGTAGAGTCTGTTGAGTCAACCAAGGACCGTACATTGAGAAGACCTTAGCCCCTGTTCAGATGTAGTCCATGAGAAGCTCAGTCTCCATGTGGGTACCCTAGTAAGAGGAACAGTAGCAGTCTCCAGCATGAACTCTGTTGAAATGCCATCAATTTAAGTTTTCCACATTGATTATTGAATAATACTGAAGGTAGTTTCATTTCATATCTATTTTTTAATTTTTATTTTTTATATTACAGTTTATTCCTTTTGTATCCCAGCTGTAGCCTTCTCCCTCATTCCCTCTCATGCCCCTCTCCAAGTCCACTGATAGGGGAGGTCCTCCCCCCCTTCCATCTGATCCTAGCCTATCAGGTCTCATCAGGACTGGCTGCATTGTCTTCCTTTGTGGCCTGATAAGGCAGCTTCCCCTGCAGGGGGAAGTGATCAAAGAGCCAGCCACTGAGTTCATGTCAGAGATAGTCCCTGTTCCTCTTAGGGAATCCTGCTTGAAGACTGAGTTGCCACAGGCTACATCTGAGGAGGGGCTCTAGATTATACCCATGAATGATCCTTGGTTGGAGTATTATCTCAGAAAAGATGCCTGTGCAGAGAGTTTTGATTCTGTTGCTCCCCTTGTGGAGTTCCTGTTCCCTACAGCTCTTATTATCTCACCCCCCCTTTTTTTTCACAAGATTTCCTGCACTCTACTCAAAGTTTAGCCATGAGTCTCAGCATCTTCTTTGATACACTGCTATGTAGAGTCTTTAAAAGGCCCTCTATGGTAGACTCCTGTCCTGTTTCCTGTTTTCTCTCTCTTCCAATGTCCATCCCCTTTGCCTTTCTGTGTGAGGATTGATTGTCTTACCAAGGGTCCTTCTTGCCTAGCTTCTTTGGGTGTACAGATTTTATGTTTATCCTATACTATCTGTCTAATTTCCACTTACAGGTGAGTATATTTTTCTGAGATTGTAATATAATTACAACATTTCTCATTTCCCTTTCTTACTGACAAATTCTCTCATATGTCCTCCCCTGTACCAGTCGAATCCCATGACCTCTTCTTTCATTAATTGTTATTGCCTATATGTATATGTGTGTTAATCAAAGTTTTAATAGAAAGGAATGAAGGAAAGCAGTGTTTAAAAATTATTACCTCTTCGTATTAAAAAATATATAAATTTCAGCAAGAAGACAATATTTTGGGTGATTTTAATAAGGTTGCTTCCTAAGGAGACATGATTGGAACTATTAAGTAATGTTTTAGGGCTATTAAAAATAATGTTACTGTTTAAAGACATAATAGGGTTTTAATTGGAAATATTAAGTAATGTTTTAGGGTTATTAAAAACAATGTTAATGTTTAAAGGCATGAGAAGATTTTATATAATTTGCTGTCATTTTGCAATACCTTTTGATACATTTTTCAGGTCTGACAAAGCAATGTATACTTCTCAGAGAGGGTACACATGTATCCATATATGCACTTGAAACCGGAACTTGAAATATAAGATATTTGTTTTTTAACAAGTAAAACTGAGAAATGTTATTATGCTATTTCATGATTCTCCAGTGTAAAATCTATAATGTATATGTATACATATGCATTGCATAAGATACTATGAAATGACATACACAGGAGATATAAAAGCATTAGTGCTCCATGAAGAAAATGAGTTAAGGCAAAGGTAAATCAACACTAATGGCTGTATTCCACCTGACTACTAATTATCTTTGTCTTATTAGATAAAATGTTTCTATCTCTGGATGAGATTTAAGAAAATGCCAAATTTCACTGACGTGACAGAATTTATCCTTCTAGGCTTGACTAGTCGTCCTGAGCTGCAGCTCCTCTTCTTTGTGGTTTTCTTGATGGTCTACATTGTCACTCTGCTTGGCAACATTGGGATGATCATTCCAATCAGAATCAGCCCTCAGCTCAGCAGTCCTATGTATTTTTTCCTTGGTCACCTGTCCTTTGCAGATGTGTGGTTCTCTTCTAATGTCACACCCAAAATGTTGGAAAATCTAGTATCTGCAGTGAAAACCATTTCTTACTCCGGGTGCATAGTGCAATGTTTCTTTTTCATTGCCTTTGTGCATGTGGAAGTTTTTATCTTGGCAGTGATGGCCTTTGACAGGTACATGGCAATCGGCAATCCTCTGCTCTACAGCAGCAGAATGTCGCGGACTGTGTGCATGAGACTAATCTCCTTCCCTTACATCTACGGCTTCTTTATCAGTTTGATCTCAACCTTGTGGACTCATGGTTTGTACTTCTGTGGGAACAATGAGATCAACCACTTCTACTGTGCAGACCCAGCTCTCATCAAGATGGCCTGTGCAGGGACCTTCGTTAAAGAATACACCATGTGCACCTTAGCAGGCCTCAACTTCTCTTATTCCTTATTGGTCATTGTTGTCTCCTACATATTCATTCTGATCGCCATCATAAAGATGCGCTCGGCAGAAGGGAGGAAAAAAGCCTTTTCCACGTGTGGCTCCCACTTGACAGCTGTCACCATATTTTATGGAACTCTCTTCTTCATGTATCTCAGAAGAATCTGTGGAGCAGGGGAAGATGGTGGCTGTGTTTTACACCACAGTCATTCCTATGTTGAATCCCATGATTTACAGTCTTAGGAACAAGGATGTCAAGGAAGCCATGACCAAGGCTATCAACAGAGCAATTTTAGAAAAGTAGAAGCTTAAACTATACAAAGACGTGTTGTTCATAAGAAAACACTTTGAGATGACTTTGAATTTATTTGTATTTTCATCAAATATAAAATTTTATTTCTTAAGTTTTGAAATAATAATTGTTATTCTTTGAAAGTTCCAGACACTTATATAATGTATATGAATCATATAAAATACTATAAAAAGATTTCTAATTAAAAAGAGAAAAACAGTGTAGAGTTTAGAAAAGCATGCTGAAAAGGGCTCTATGTCATGATATAACACAGCAACAAAACCACCAACATCACACAAACACGCATGCGCACACACACACACACACACACACACACACACACAATTTCTCTTCCATTCAATTTCAAATTGAAAATAAATTCACAGTTCAGAAATCTTTTCACCACTGGGATTTCAGAAGTCTTTTGTTGAAAGAAATTATGTTAAAAAGAAATTATGCCTTTTGAAAAACATTTAGTAGAACAATGAAGGATGGGAACAGACATATTAAAAAATAGTTCACTTCAGTTTATGACTATTATATAGTATTTAAAAGACGATAAGCTAGGGTCAGATGGAAGGGGAGGAGGACCTCCCCTCCAGTGAACTTGGAGAGGGGCATGGGATGAGATGAGGAAGGAAGGATGGGATTGGGAGGGAATGAGTGAGGGGGGAATAGCTGGTATACAAAGTATATTTAATATACAAAATTAAAAAATAATAATGTGACAAAAAATAAATAAAATATGTCAGTGACAACCCTCCTCCCCAAATAAAAGATAATGGCTCTTGCATTAAAGTGCATGTAACTGAATTATGGCATTGACCTCATGCTTATGTTTTGCCTAGCTGTGCTCCTCAGTTTCCCTTGGACTTGAAAGCTCAGCAGCAAAAGAGGTCTTTTCCTTGATGTAGCTGTGCTTTTATTTTGACCTAACCTCTTCCCTTTTCTTCAATAGCTATCTTCATTTTTGCTGTCCCACAACAATTTCTTCACCTCTCTTATTATCTATCTGTGCTTTCAGTCTTCACTTTTGAGAACTGTTCATTTTGTTGTGTTTTCTAATTTTTATTTTTTATATTAATTACAGTTTATTCACTTTGTATCCCAGCTTTAGCCCTCTCCCTCATTCCCTCCCAAACCCACCCTCTCTCTCATCTCTTCCATGCCCCTCTCTAAGTCCACTGATGTGTTTTTACTGAAACAGCTTTTTTATAGGTCATCAATGAGTTACCTTTTTCTAAATTCAACAGCTACTATGATTTCCTGTAAATTAGCCTACTCTAGTGTTTTGTACTATAAGCAATTTTTATTTTATTTTTTCATTTAAAGTAATGGAATAAACATGGTATGTTTGGCACTATGTAAAAAATTCAAATAAAGAAGCTATAATGAGGTTAAAGGTTATTTAATATACAGCCTTAATAATTATATTATGTACAATATGATTTTATGGCCTCAAAATGCATAGATTCTGTATCTCTAAGAGTCAATTAGATCCAGTTCATAAAATAAATTATCTTTTGTTACATTCTTCTGGATTCATGTGAGCATCATCATGTAATTTATACTAAAATTGTATCATAACTCTACATTTCAATTATGTTACCAGTCTTTTAAAGATCTGTTTTACCTGCTGATTAAATTGCTATTGATTGTCAGTGTTTTTCAGTTTCTTACATGCAGTCACACATCTGGTTTTATATTTCATCTAAGGAGAACGACTGAAGAAAGAGATTTCTCAGATGCTTAAGTGCATTTAGCTGCTGATAGGAACCTAGAGAAGTCCAGGAAAATTAATTTCTACAAGGTTGAACCTTATGATATTTTTTGAAAAGTGATTGCTCATTCAATGATGTTTTCTTAATCTATGATTATTAATATAAAACTCTCTTCATGTAAAAAAAAGTATGTAGTTTGGTCTGATTATTTTCTTGAAGAGAACAATTCAAATTTACTTACCAAATATGAGACATCCACTTAAGATATTTTAAAAGTATGTAGATAAGATTAAACAAACTTAAATATTATTTCCTTTATTCAATCATATTTTACAATTTAATTATCTTAGGAACTCTGATTTGTCTCACAGTGTTTTAAATCAGCTTATGCATTTGATGAAGACATAAAGATCAGCTAACACTACATGTCCTTTCAATAAATCTCAGGCTACTTCTCTATGGAAATATTGACCCCATATTGTTAATTTCATTTCAAGCAGCTAGTTATATTGTCTTCATCATGTATAAAATTAGAACCTGTTTTTTTCAATATTTTTATTTTTAAATAAATTTTATTATATTTTAAAAAGAAGTGTAGGCAATAGGAGATAGAAAACTGAGAAAAAGAAAAAGTAACATTTGAGGATAAAGGAAGGATTCAGTTCCATCTTTCAGTGCAGGGAATCTTAGGAAAGAAGTGGGAAATAGTAAGATCTGGAGAGGACAGGAACTCCATAAGGAGAGCAACAGAACCAAAAAAATCTGAGCACAGGGGTCTTTCCTGAGACTGCTATTCTAACCAAGGACGATGCATGGAGATACCCTAAGACCCCTGCACAGATGTAGCCCATGGCAGTTCAGTATCCAAGTGGGTTCCATTGTAATAGGAACCGGGAATGTCTCTGACATGAACTGATTGGCCTGGTCTTTAATTTCCTCCCTCTAAGGGGGAAGCAGCCTTACCAGGCCACAGAAGAAGACAATGCAGCCACTTCTGATGAGACCTAATTGACTAGGATCAGAAGGAAGGAAAAGAAGACCTCCCCTATCAGTGGACTTGGGGAGGGGCATGCAGGCAGAGGGTGGAGGAAGGGAGGGATTGGGATAGTAGAAGGGAGGGAACCACGGTGGGGGGATACAAAGTGAGTAAAGTGTAATTAATAAAGAAAAATTAAATAGAATTATCTCAGTGTGTGTGTGTGTGGGGGGAAACAAACCTTCAGGGAACTGAGAGACAGGCCCAGACCAGCTCCTTTTCTAGCTTCTTCTGAGGGAGCATGGCCAGGTTCATGCCTTGAGCTTAGTTTTCACTCCACTAGAACTATGAAATGGTACATTTTTGCTGTTTACAACCCTCAGCTTGCGGGACTTTGTTATAGAAATCCTAGAAAACTAATATAGCTCTCTATTCCAAGCCGCAAAATAAATTAGCACACAAATAATAATTCCTAGATGTCTCTTTCTAAACTCAGTTCCTTGTAATTACTGAATCTCTTTGTGAGATGAGGTATTGTTTACTGGCCTTGAAGTCGTGTTTCACTATCTGAGCCTCCTAGGTGTTAGGGTTATAGGCATATGCTACCATCCTGGTTCCTAATCCAGTCTGTTGTCATGTCTACTACTGCTGCTTCATGGCTTTTTCTATCTCCTACGGCTCTCCTTTACGAATGTATAAAGTTCTGTTTAAAGATTTCACAGGTTATTTTAAAATGTTTAAATGCATTTTCACTGATAGTCATTACCATTATTATCTTTGGAGACAAAAAACCATGATTCTGGAATTTTGATCATATTAATAATATGAATTATAAATTGTTAGCAACTTTAATTAACTCTATAATTTGGTAGATTTTAATCTTCAAATGTACACTAATGAAATAAATAAATTTTATTTTAGAAAGAAAGGTGGCACATTACAATGTTTTTTAAAATTTTTTATTAATTACACTTTATTCATTTTGTATTCCCCCATAAGTCCCTCCCTCCTCCCCTCCCGATCCCACCCTCCCTCCCCTTTCTGCATTCATGCCACTCCCCAAGTCCACTGATAGGGGAGGTTCTCCTCTCCTTTCTGATCTTAGTCTATCAGTTCTCATCAAAAGTGGCTTCATTGTCCTCTACTGTGGCCTGGTAAGGCTGCTCTCCCCTCAGGGGGAGGTGATCAACGAGCAGGCCAATCAGATTATGTCAGAGGCAGTCCCTCTTCCCATTACTATTGTAGTTGTTTCTCATGCTGTGTGTTAATTTCATGTGTAGTCTTATCCTTTATTCTGGTACAGTGAAGTTTATACTAAAACCTAACTTTCTTTAATTATATCCCAACTTTAGATTATAAAACTTAATTTTTGAAAGAGAGAAAATTTTATAATTTTGTAATTTTCTTTTATAATTTAATACTAATGAATACATTTATATTGAATACTAATGAAGGTACATATCACTACCGGGACATTTGAATTATCTGAATTCTATTTGTTAACCTCATTTTTTTTTTTGTCAACAACAATATTTTTTGAAACAAAATGATCAGTCTACTGCCATACCACTCTGAATGTGGCAGATCTTGTCTGAAATGAAGTGATCATCATAGTGAGGCTTGAAGAGTGTTGCTTCCTTGATCTTAATTTTCCCTGAGAGAAGATTTTCCTGATTTTATCAGCTTACAATAACCACATCATTTGCTCCCCAAGGAATGGCACTAGTGAGTGTGCTAATCACAGCAGTGAGCTGTTCTAGATCATGTTCTCCACACGGAACGGACTTAGTGAGAATGTTTGCTAATCACGTTAGTAAGCCAATTACAGTATTCTATAGGCCACATGTTCCATTTAAAGGCTGTTTTCTTCATGTGTGCATAAAAATTTGTATTTTCAAATACTATATAATTTGATTAACTGTTCCTCATTTTCCTTGTCTCATTGGTGTTATTAAAAAAAAAAAAAACCCTCTTCTTTCTGATATAGGTTTCCAGAACTTATATGTTATCTGAATACAACTACATTTTCATTTTACTGAAAAATGAAGCAAAGGTTGGATCTATTTGTCAGCTGCTTTTAAAGTAGCTTAATGAGACAGGCAGATAGAGGGATGTGTATTAGTATAGGTCCAGCCACCGTTTCCTAAGGGCTTACTCCAAATTTTATCTATTTTTGTTGATCGAAAAATTCTTTTTGTGTATATCAGGAATAATTTATTTACTTACTTGAATAAAAAAACTATCAATAAGTTAACAAGTAAAGTAAGTTTGCCTGTTACTGGTGAATTGTTAGTCTGAAATTATATATTACATTA